CAACAAACACAAACTCCCCCCCCCTCCTGTGGTAAAATGGTTACACATTTTCCTCTTGTTAAAGAGGTAGAAGACTTGTATTCATAAGGAGTGCACCAAACTATAGGCATACTCCAAAGGGAAATGGACTCGTTAGAAACAAGCAGAATTCTTTGGAAAGACCTAGACCATGAGAAAAAAAAATCTGAAACATTGAAGTAAGAAGATACATACACAATCGCCTTATCTGTTTAAATTCAAATTGTGAAGTCATGTTAATCAAAAGATTTTTTTTATTCATCTGCTCAGAAATTCATTTTCTCATTTTCCTTGTGAGTTTATACTAGAAATCTGCATGGGCTTTTTATACCCTTTTTATTTCAAGGCCTTTTTTTTTAAATTTGTGATCTGTATTTTTAACTGTAACTGCACTTTCAAGAATGTTAAATTAGATGTTACTTTAAATTAGTTTATAAGTTCTAGATATAGAATCTATACAATAATGTATTTACATCAGATTTTCATTGTTGCATAGATTAATTGGTTTCAAATATTTCTTTTACTTTGTGTTAATTACCAACAAAAAATGTATTACAATAGGACTGAAATTTAATTGAATTTGTTTTTGTGAACTTTTTGTTGTTATTAAATGCTAGCATCACTACTTTGATTTTACTTCGTAGCTCAGCAAAATTTCTGATAGCTTTTACACAAAAGTTCAGTATAAATTTTGGAAATTATGAGCAAAAGTGGATAAAAAAAATTATTATGCCCTTCTAAATGAGAGACATCTTATAACTATGGCCGGGGTAGGGGAGGTTGATGACTGTTGGGTCCCATCTCATCTGATCAGTCAGGCTCTGCAAGATTAGTGACAGGAAAGCAGAGATGAGGAAAAATCAGTGCTGTGGCTGTTTTTTTAAAATAAAAAATTCCTCCTTCAAAATTATTGACATTAACTCCACATTTAGATTATACTTAATTACAATATTTTTTATTAAATTTAATACAATGGGTTTTTTACACCTATTGATGCTGTTTTTTCTATGAATTGTGACTTAATCTCATAATTGTTTTCTTTTCCGTGGATCTATCAATAATAAAGATGAAATTTTGTGTTGCACTGAGTTGAAGATTTTTCATTTGGAATACTCCAGACATCTCATCTTTAAAACTTATGATTTCATAATGCCCAAAGTCCAACATAATTGTTGATGCTTCAAGACAATAATTGGCATGGTTTACCTGTTCCACTTGACCATGTATATTTAATTTGTTAACTCTGTTACTTGTTGTTGATGGTCTTTGTTACGCACTGACTTGTATTGGGAGAAATTAATCTCCTATTTTAATTTTGATTTGGCTCATTGTAAACAGTGCCTAACAAAGGACGATACCATAGAGTCAACAATATTAAAGATACGACACCCAAAACAGTTTCTAGTTACAATTAATAAGATTTATTAAGTCTTAAGATAATTACAAAAGAAAAGAAAATATAATGACAATCTTCAACTTACAGTATGGTAGATCTTGTACCGGTACACAGTTAACACAGTTAGAATAATGTGCCAATGAATAATGATGAAATGCGAAAAGAAACACATATATAAGAACACAAAGAATAATACACATCTTGTGAAGTTAATAAAAGCTATCTGAATCTCCGTCCCCCCGTCCGTGTCTGTCAATCCCTTATATAGGTCGCGTAAGCCCTGCCTTCCAGAAAGACTTAGGACGTTTCTAGAACAATCAGATTCATTCTACAAAATACTATTTAGAACAGATTAATTATTTTTAGTGGCTTTCGGCATCAACACGACAGATCAAAAGACTAAGCCAAACCCATCTGTGAACACAGCGTCTCATGCGGGGTCAATCAGAGTGCACGCACGAGAAAAATTATGTAAACAAGCTCTATAGAACAGTCTTATTCTAACAGTATTTTTTTTAATGAATTACAGTCTGGTTTTGTTTTTTCATTTATACACATTGTGCTTGAACACATTTGTTGGGCTATTGATGAAAACTTTATTTATGTGTGAAGGTGTTTTTTTTTCTTCAAATATTTGAATGTGTCTGTAGATTTCAACTTTTTTTTTTTTTAAATTTATGAACATTTTGAAGAATTTCCACCTTCCCATTGTCCTTATTTTCTTTAATTGTGTATTGCAAAATATTTCTGTATTGAAATTTAATGAATTATTCAGAAGCCTGTTGTTGTGGATTGTTGTATGTTGAAAACAAAAGCAATGCATTGCCAAAGTGGATTCAACACACTAGTTGCACTTACTATTGAAATATGATATACACATTTTTTCTGAATCTTTTGATTTTATGTTTGATATTTACTCTGCTAAATATCAAACTTTCAATTTCTATATAAAAGGTGTTATTTCAGATCATTTTAAAATCTGCATAAATAGTTTTCTCTACTGGATGTTGGTCAATATTATTTGTGTTTTGGTTTTGGTCAAATGTAAATTATTTGTATCCATGAATAACTCAGGAGTGTGTAGGATGGTTAGATCTTTAATTAGGCCTTTTTTTTTTTTTTTTTTTAATTTAGGCTTTTTTTTTTTTTTTTTTTTTTTTTTTTTTTTTTTTTTTTTTTTTTTTTTTTTTTTTTTTTTTTTTTTTTTTTTTTTTTTTTTTTAATTTTTTCTTTTTTTTTTTTTTTTTTTAAATTTGCGATTTTTGTAGTCATGGCTCATTTGTTATCAATGCAGAGAAAAAATAAATTTGACAGCTGGGACTTTGGATGATGGCAGTGGTGGAGACAAAGACAACCTGAAAGGACAATATTATAGTATGATATGCTGTAGTTATTTTATAAATATATTCTGGTGTCCTAAATGACATCACTTTAAACATTTTCAAGTATCTCTAACTGTTGGAAGTTCCTGATATAAATCAGTGTTAAGCCATTTCAGAAATTATTTAATGAAAGAAACACTTAGCATCACCACCTAGACTTAATATCGCCACCTGGCTAATGATGTTGTTACCTCCATTATTGGTGGCTAAGGAAGCATTGGGACCAGACCCCCTTCCTGGATCTGCTAGTAAGTGACTTGTTAAAGAAATGATGTGTGTTGGCAAATGTGTTTTTGTGACACAGTTTTAGACCATGTTTAAAAGGAAATCAATTCTAACACTTGCATGATTTTAAAAAGAGTTTACCCTTTAAGTTTGTCTTTTATTTTAATTGAAGTTGTTTTTCCGGTGGTTGTCTAATTTGAATTATATGACCACTGCTAGTGTAATCGCATTTGTATTTGTTTAATTTGATCAAATATATGGTAATGTATTTTTAGATGCTCTTACAAATTTTAAATTACTTATTCTTTGGTTATTTATTTACTAAATTTAAAATGGATTTGAATGCTAGTGTTGTGATATAAGCACAAAGCAATTAATCGAGAAACAAGTGTAAAGATGCCTGACTTTTTTTTAAATTGAAGCCTATACTATTTTTCAAAGCACTCCTTCATGGTCCACAATTAATTGCCCGTGGAAAGGCCAGACAGGATAGGTAAAATAAACTAGAGCAAATGAAATTCAAAATGTTTTATTTTGTTGGCTTTATTTTCTCAGTGCTGATAGCCAAAACTTTGGTACTAAATATTACTAAGAAATAAACATGTTTACCTTAACTTTAGCAGTTGTGAACACCTGTTTACCGAGAGGCAATAATTATACATTCAAGTGCATAATCCAAATTTAAACAATTAATCAAGTGCAAGATTCCCTGATTTGCTAATTAAATAGTGTATTATGACATCATCAGCATAAGTACAAATAGTTTGACAGATTTAAGAGCATTGAGAACTCCAAATGGTAGTTGTTGTTTTTTTTTTGTTGAGAATATAAACATGACAATCATTTTTCAATTTGAACTATTTTAAATCATTAAATAATGTTAAAAAATATATATAATTTTTGTGAATTGAATTAAACCAAATACTTGTCTTAAATAATAAATAATATTTGAAAATAAAATATTAAATCGACAAAGTAAAATGTGGATAAGCATTGCAGCCGTGTTATAAGTAGATGTCAATTAATAATAGCATAGATCATAAATTGAGACACAATATTCAAAAATTAAAATCAGTGTTATTGAACATTTTAAAATTTTGGTTTAATAGCTCGATCCAATATAAATAATGTGAAGGATGGGTTATAGGTGGCTGAAAGGTCACTTAATGTTCTGCTCAAAGCACTAAAAGCACAACTGACCTGGTGAAATAGCTTAACCTGTTAGCTCAAAACACTCACTTACTGTTAAAATGGGGTCAAGCTTGACCCTATCAGAGGCTTTCATAGTTATCTATACCAGAGTTTTTGTTGACAATAGATCTTTGAAGAGGCTCTACTTTTTCTCTATGGCAATGATGAATTAAAATATTAAAGGCAACTAATTGTATTAAATAGATATAGTTAATTTTAAATTCTACACCTTTTTACCCTCAACAGTTTTCAGGCTTCAGTGTTTTATCAGTTTTATCAAGAGTCAGATGTCGTAACATATTTACCACTTGGTTCAACAAATGTGGCCTTATCATGTGAACATTTTTTATTTCATCATTTCGATTTACTACTGTTTTTTAATTTAATTGTTTTAATTCTTGTCACAATTACTTGTTTGACTTTCCAGGTGGTTGGCCCAATCAATGCTAAATACACATTTAAAAGTACAAAGAAACACTATTACAATTTTTCAGGGGATCTCATGTTAATAGTGATTTGTAAAAAAATCCCCCAAAAATCTGAATACGTTTTGCAATCTCCGGCTGACACTTGTTACTT